GGAGGGGGGGGGGGGGGGAGGGGTACTTGTACCTTATCCCTATATTTTATTTAGGAAAAGAATGCTTGTAGCCCAAAAAATGAAACTATTTATGAGCGCCTACCCCCTTATTTCGTACTTCTATTTTTAACTATCAATACGTGTTTACATACATCAAAGTATAAATATACTATGATGATATTAAAGAGGACGAAATAGTGCTTCAGTGAAAACATTTCTCAGTTATTCTTTGATACTATTAGAATATATATACTTTTATGACATCAAGGAGGAACAAACATTATTTCAGTGAAAAGACTGTTCAATTACTTCTTGATACCATTAGAGCATATAGATACCATCAGTGTATATATATATTTTGATGATATCAAGAATGAAGAAGCAGTGGTTTAATGAATAGAACAAGGGGCAGTTGGATAAATAATTTGAGCCGTGAGGTCAACCAGGATAAACATATTGGGCTAAGTTCAATTTAATAATATTTGGCTAATGAGTCTAATTTGTATAGTTTTCCCTATGCTGAGTTCTATTTTTTTCTCCCAATTTTCTCACGACACAATTTCATTTTTCGTAGTTACGAATTTACGATCTTTACTATAACAATAATGTCCGACTGTTGCCTTCAAGAATTATCTCCAAAACATGTATAATATATGTATAATAATTGTATACCGTAATGATAAATAATTTTTACAATAATGATACTATTTTGATAATATATGATAGTACTTTTTTCTATACAAATACAGTAATGATACATATATTATACAATGATGATATAATTTTTGTACACATGCGCTTTCATGCAATAGTGAGTATTTATATATATATAACTTGCGGATATCTCATACATTTGGGATAATTACATTCTATTTCGGAAGTTTTTTCAATTATAAAAATTCCGATTTTTTCATTGCTATCGGACACATTTCTTGGTTGTCTGATACATTGCAAATGATACATTACTTAATGGGAGGGGTGTATCCGAGAGGAGATAGGGATGTATCCAAGGGGGATGGCGATGTATCCGAGAGGATAGGGATGTACTTGAGAAGGGATAGAGATGTATCCGAGAGAGGATTTTATAAATTTTTTTAAATGGTAGAAAATTTTAGAGATTATAATATCTTAAATTGTGTATTTATATAGTTTTTTCGTACCACAGTGATACATTTCTTATAGACTTACTGATATGGAAAGCTTCATTAGTTGAAATCTATGAAAGAACTTAATCCTGAGTAGTGAATCTTTGTTTTGGATTGAAGACTAAGGTTTGATTCTATTTATGTGTTGATTAAAATTGGATCAAGACTCCTGTTTGTGCTTAAATTTATAGTTGATATTATTATTCTTATCAACCTTTAAACTATTTATATCGAGTAATGTATGTTCAATGTAAGGAGATTGTTTATACTATGTGGGAGGATTATATGAAAGAGTAGTACACTACACTTCATGTTCAATTTTATTTTTTATTGAACTTAAGTTTGATAAATAAATGTCGTATTTTCTTAGAATAATTTTGTGATAGTTATTATACTTTGTTATGAACTTTTGTTTATGTGGTAAGATTATATAAAGATTGGGGCATTACTATATGTACTTTCAAACAATTATATATTGGGATAAGTTTAGAGACCTGCCCACAGGTTTGGCTTCGTAACACTCACCTTCCTTGTGATTTACAATTGTTATACTTGCCTCCCTTATTTTGAGTTTTTGGTAACAATTCATTTAACTTATTAAATATTAATGTAAAAAAATTATGATATGACTAATTTTCCTTTTTTAATATATCCTATTTTGTAAAAAAGCTTAATTGTTATAGAATAAATATTTTCATCTTTCATTAAGAATTTTTTTCATCTTCCATTAATCCATTCGGCTAAACTTGTTTTAGAGTTGATGCCACCGATTTGTTTGTCTAATTTTATTGAAAATGAAGAATTTTATATCAAATGTTGAAACTTGAGAAATGGAGTAACTCAATTTTCATATCTACTGGAATGCAAACAAATTAACATACATTTTGTTCTAATTTTGATCATATTCTTTTCCTGTTCAATAATTAAGTCATCTTAAAACATTATATTTTTATCTTAATTGTTGACACTATTATAACTGAATTTACCGTGAATTGCATAAAATTATAAATTCATTTAAATAAAAGGGTTTTAATGGAAGATGAAAATAAATCGATTATCAAGGAATCAACAAAATAGAATTTTGAAGAGGGAAAATTAGTCAGATTATAATTCTTTATATTAATAATTAATAAGTTAAATGAATTGTTATAAAAAAATCAAAATAAGGGAAGTAAATATAATATCGTAAACCAGAAGAGAGGTTAATGTTATTAAGTCAAACTTGAGGGATGGTCTCTGAAATTACTCTTATATATTTTACCATTAATTAAGAGTTTTCTACTATATATTCAGATACACGTATCCCTAAATAATTGCCTATAAATTAATTATTTGTATAATTAAACCACCCTAATTTAAGGCTTTCATGTCAATCAATTCTCTCTCTCATCAATCTCCCACCCATATCCTCCACCAACATTCTCCGTCTTCCTCCCTTCTCTCCATCATTAACTAAATTTAAATAAATCTTCAATTTGCCACATAACATAACTAGTGGTCTCAAATAGGTATATATAAAAAAATATTTTAGAGTTGAGTTTTAAACTCATTTAATTAATATTATTAGGTATTTATTTTATCCTTAATAAGATAATTTAAAATTATTTAATTAACATCACTTAAAAATAATATGCACAACACAAATTTAACATAATTGATGCTAGTTCTGTAATTTTCTTTATATAGTTTGATAAATTGATGGATACAATTCTTACAATTGTTTTGACCCACCAACATTGGGTCAACATTTTGTGAAAAAAAAGAGTCTCAAACTCATATAATAATAATAATAATTTATTTATTTTTATTAAGTTCAACGGGCTCAAGTCATTAAATTAAGAAACTTCTCCATTATGTCCCAAAAACTAAAACAAAAGAAAAGGTTTTGTTGATCCTACTCCATCGATCTATTTTTAATTGTCATGATTTCTTTTTTAGCGTCAAACTATAAGAACTCTTACTAACATTTTATAATGTATTTTTTCAAATATACAAAAATTACAATTACAATACTTTTTATATAGTTTTTGAATATCTAATTTTTTTTTAAAAAAAATCATATTAATGTAATCTAATTTAACTTTGAAATTTAATCAAATTGACTTTCGAAAAACGCAGTATGACAAATAAAAGTGGAGGGAAAAAGTAGTAATCAATGAAAATGGGATTAGCCTAAAAGCCAAAGCCAAAGCCATTAGTTTTTTTTATGTATATAGGAAAATGATAATTTAAAAAGAAAAGAAGAGTAATTAGGAAAACCACATAAGAGATGACACATATTGAAGATATCCTTTTCTTTACTTAGAGGCTTCAAGAAGGCCAAGTTATAACCATTAAGCTATCCTAACCAACCACTCACTCCTTTTTCCCCTTATTTTCTTCTCCTTATTAATAGCTATACCTTGAAAACATCATCCAAAAAGACCCTTTCAAAGTAAAAAAAAGTTGAGAATAAATAATGTGGCAGAATCATAGCCAAAATTCTTCCTTTAGAGAATCCATCAAAGCCCTTGAAGCTGATGTTCAACATGCCAATACTATGTAATAAACTTTCTTTTCTTATTTCTCATCAATTTTTCTTAAGTTGGTTGCACATCATTCTACTTGTTGGGTAGTTTCTTTCATCTATAACTTAAATTTTGTCATTTTTGATGTTGAAATTTGTGCAAATTTACTTACTAGTAAAGTAGCTCAAGCCTGAATTGTTTCCTTTTAACAACAATTTGTCATTTTTCATTTTCTTGATGTTTAAATTTGGACTTAGGTATTGTTTAAATTTAACTGGCTCAGAGTTATGGTCACAATTGTCATAATTTTGAAATGTTAGGTAATTATATGTGTACTCTCTCCAATAGTTTAAACTTTTAGATGAGATGCTTACATTTATTAAGATAGTATCGTAGTAGACAAAGGTCCTAATTGTACCAATATGGGTTGTAGTGCAATGGTGGGATTGCTCCAATTTAACTAGAGGTCTCGGTTCGAGCCCTGAGTATGGAAAAAATCTTGTTAGGAGCACTACCCCTGCCCTGCGGATTTAGTTGAAGCTCCTATGCGGACACCAGGTGGAAAACCAAAAAAAAAGGTTCTAATTGGAAGTTTTGCCACAGCTAAAGAAAATGAGCAAGAAAATATTTTCACGTGTTTGGCCTATGAAAGAAAAAGTTGGGCCAACACGCGAGGAGAGGCGTGTTGAGATACTATATGATTAAATAATCAAAAGTATGGTCTCTCTAATAGTTTTAAGCTTTTAGAATAGATGGTACACACTTACTGTACTGAAGAATTTGCTTTTGAGGTAGTTCAATTTCCTTTCTGTAAGTGCTTATTTTGTTCCGTCTTTTTTATAGTTAGATGAACAACAATGGTTTGATTTGAAGAATAGCTAGTTTACAACTGTTTTGCTCATGAGATGTGTTTTGCAGGGCATTGGCTCTTCCCCGGGATCTCGATGGGGATTGTGTTCAGATGAAAGTTTCCTATGGTTTTCTCGCCCCCTTCTTGCTATTTCTGATAGAATGGATGGACTATAGTTGTTTAGATACTCTAGCTAGTTGCTTAGGACTCCTTCACATTCTTGTTTATAAGGTGAGCTTTCACTTAAACTTCACTTTTTTTATGCAAATTAAAGGCATTACCTCTAGTTGAGTTCTTGGTTGTCTATGTCCATTTGTTTCACACTTTCACAAAGTGGACTAGTCATCTTTGTAGGTTTATGTTGATGGAATGCCAACAATGCCCCCACAAGAAAGGAAGGCCACAATTAGAGAATTCTACGGTTTGTATTCTTTCCTCGTTTGTTCTTCTTTTCGTTTAGCCTACAACAATGGGAGGGAGACAGAAAAGCAAAAGAAATTGAATTTGATAGTTGGAATTTGGTTAATCAATTTGATGAGACTATTCCCTCGGTCCCAATTTATGCGGAACTCTTTCTTTTTCAGTCTGTCCTGAAAAGAATGACACATTTTTTATATTTAGTAACAATATAACTTTAAACGTCTCATTCTACCCTTAATGAGAAGATTTAAAGCCACACAAATATTTATGGCTTGTTTTAGACAACAAGTTTCAAAAGTTTTTCTTTCATTCTTAAACTTCTTCGTGCTCACTCGAATGCCATCACATAACTTGTGACGGAGGGAGTACTACTTTTCTCCTTTTTCCGTTGTAACTAATGATTATAAAATGATATCGAAGGGTGTGCCAGGATTTCATCAATGCTGAATAGTTGTTGTAAAATGTTGCAGCCATTATATATCCTTCACTAAAGCAGCTGGAGGGGAATTTAGTGGAATTAATGAAGGAGAATACTAAAGTAACTCAACTCTTGAACACTTCAAATGGAAGAGTGGAAGAGAAAAGACAGTCATGTAAAAGTATTCCGGGAGAAGAAGAAGAATGTGGTATATGCATGGAGAGTGGCTCCAAGATAGTTTTGCCTAATTGTAGCCATTCCATGTGTGTTGGCTGTTTCCACGACTGGTACGAAAAGCACTCCGACCCCTTTGCATAAGTACTAGTTTCATAAATGGTTAACAACATTGTCCTGTTATCTGTCAGGTACATCCGGTCTCAATCATGCCCTTTTTGTCGAGGTAGTCTAACGAGAGTAAACTCCAGAGACTTGTGGGTTCTAACTAGTGACTGTGATGTGGTTGATAGCACCACTCTAGAGCAGGAGAATGTAAGGCGGTTCTACCTTTATATTGATAAGTTGCCACTTGCCGTCCCTGACACCAATGTAATGCTTTACGATTACATGATATAGACTTGGAAGTGGAAGCACTATATCATGCATACATGCTAGCTGACCTACTTCAGCTGAATAAAGGGTCTAACTTGTATTGTACATAGTTAACGAAACTACTAGCTAGCTATCCATACTGCAAACTCAAAGCTACAGAGCCGAGGCGTCTGTGGAATGACTAATCTTCACACATGTTTGCTCGGTGCAGTTATGTGACGAGTTTGAGCTAAATTATGTATAGAGTCATGAAAGTAGAAAGTATAGAGATATTCCTGACATTCAACTCAGTTTTTTTTGGAACCTGAGTGTTGAAATGGGAAGACAAAAGACTAAATGTTTTTTGGCAAATGCTGCTTGTTATGCTTGTACAGTATTTTACCAGTTAAAATAAAGGATGTATGATGGACCATTATATCCCAATGTTCATTGAGGGGAAGAACCAAATTGTTTAGTTGAAGAAACAGAAGGTATATAGCGGAAAACTCATGGTTTAAACTTCGTTTGTTTAGTCAGAAAGGTAAGCGTAAGGTCTGTATACTCCAGACTCCACTTGTAAGACTATATTGTTTAGTTTGTTATGTTATTGTTGTATACATGACAGATTTGTTAATGTATTCCTATGTATATGTGATATATAATATAAATGGTCTTTTTTTTTTTCCAATTTATTTCATAATAATTAAGGTGAACATGTATTCAACTCTAAATCAAAGGTACAATACTTTTTTCAAGAATCAACATAGGTCAGAAATTAAGGTTGTCCTAATGTACTTTAAGGACATAATCAATCATTTGACAGAATATTTTTCCAGCTATGGCTATATACCTATGAAGATATTCATAGCAATATAACCTATATATGAACTATCTATTTGTTTTAGGGGGTGTTCGTAGTGCGGTTTGATTCAGGTTTTGCTTAAAAGAAAATCAAACTAATTTAAGTCGGTTTCTTTAATATTAAAATTTAACTGGACCAATATAACATATATTTCCGATTTCGTCGGTTAATATTTTATATTTTACCAAATAATTGAAATAAATGGTCGAAATTTACCTACATCTTATCGATTTGTTAGCATTTGAATGAAATTGAGTAAATCAAACATTACATAAATTTGATGATGATGATGTATATTAAGTTGTGTTTTAATATAATCTCCCTCTTTGCTCAAATAATGTGTGTTGGCGTAGTAAGAAAATTGGAAAATCTAGAGGTGGTGTTTAATTAACTAGTATATATAGTAACAAATATGGATTAACAAAGAGATATATTAGTACTAGATTAACCTAAGTATTTCTATTTATACAACACGAATTCAAATAGAATTGAAGAAAAATGAATGTGATAAAACCAATAACCAACATTTATTTGAATTCCAAGTTATAATGGAAATTTTTATTAACGATTTATAACAATTACAAATATTCTTTAATGGACTAGGGAGAAATGATCCCCTATTTATTTATTTTTTCTTTCGATTTGAATAGATGATGTTGGACTTGGATTTTGTAGCAAAATAAAATAAAATAATGGAAATATGACATGAAAAATTCAAAATTGTGAAGAAACTGCCGATTTTTTTCCAAATAAAATATTAAATTTTGCATTTTGAAAAACATGAGAAAAATGAGCTCACTAGTACTGAAAATGGAGAAAACAAGTTGCATAAGTGACTGTAGACATTGAAATTTTGTTAGACTCTACAAGACATGTTCAATTCTAGTTGGGACTCTACAAGATATGCTCAATTCCAATTAGGATTTTTGGAGGCTACTCAACCCTAAACCCTAGTTCATGTCTATTAGAACCGTCAAAACGGGCTTAGCCCATGGGGCCGGCCCGACCCAACTCGTTATTAGAGTAGGGTTGGGATAGATTTTTTCAAGCCCATTTAAACTAGGGCTTATAAGCCTGGCCCATATAAGCCCGACCCATATAAGCCCTTGGCCCTTGAGGCTTGATCGGGGCCGAAACAAGGTCGGCCCATGGGCCAAAACTTTTAATTCAAGGGTAACTTACAATAATCTCACTAATCACTAGTATATAATCTAATTACTTAAATACACACTATGTTGTAACATTATGAATCTTACCAGATTTTGGTATGTCCAGATACATGTATCTCGAAATATATGGACTCAAAATTAGGTTAATTTGTTCTAGATACACTCTATCCAAGTAGATTCACATGTATCTGAGATACATAGAGAAATCTCGCGTCCTCGTTTCCATCCCATCTTGCGTGTCACTCTCTTATCTCGCTTGCGTATCTGATATACGAGATACATGCTAATTACACTAGTTTTTTTTGCTAATGTTATTGAAACAACACCATTGTTTGCCATATTTGACTTGAAAATCTTCTCATTTTCTTGATGTTATAGAATTATAAGTTTGAAAAGAAAAAAAATGAAAAAAAAGAAGGGCTAGCCCGCCCCAGCCCTCAGCCCTTCTAGGGTTGGGTTGGGTTGAGCATTTGCAGGCCCTTACAAATGAAGGGCCAACCCGCCCTAGACCTTCAAGTTCCTTGGCCCACGAGGCTTGGGCCCGCTGGGGTTGAGCCAATCCTTTTTGATAGCCTTAATGCCTATATAAAGGGTACTAAATTCCGTTAAAAGGTATCTCGAATATTCCACAAATGTCATAGAATATTCATATAGAGGTCAAATCTGAATAATCTTAGTTCGAAAAATACGCCACTAACGGCCCTCGAATCATGGATAAATCTTAGGAGAGTAGAATCAAGGGAGGAACATCTTTGTACCCGCACTATTATCTGTTGACACCCAATTTTGGACCTCCACATTATAGATTAATCATCGAGCTTCTTCTATTTCAAATGATTTAAAATAATTAGTTTCATAAATTTTTTAAAAATAAAATAAAAATATTTTGCAAGTTTTTAAATAGTTTATCACTTTTTATAATTTTAAATAATATATATGTTTTATATAATTATGTATGAAATAAGTATATCCTATAAATATTCGAAAATCATCTCAAAAGATTTTATATTTTTAGTGTATTTTAAAGTGATGGCTATAATTTTGAATTAATTAGCTTTTATGAAATTCGAAATATTTTTTGAGTTATTTTTATGTAAGTTTTGTCAATTTTATAATTTTTAAAAATAAAATATATGTTTTTATAGTTATGTATATAATTAGTATATTATCATTTGAAAATTGTCTCAAAAGGTTTTAGTTTTGCTTTAAATTTTGCCAATTAGTTTAATTAATTAATAGTTAATATTTTAAAATTGATTATTTTATTTGGTTAAGATTAAGAAGCTCATTAATTAATTTATATTAATTAGTTTTATTTGACCTTAGTTGAATTCCTCAATTGATTCAAATCGGCTATGTCCTTAACTTCACTCGGCTGAATTTGTAATCTATATGGTGATTTTCCAAAATTGAATTTTAACCAATATTTGCTCCATTTATTGGATCAATTTAAGACCAAAGTTAGGCCAATTTTCAGCCCAACTTCCATTTAAATCAGCAGTCCACATTATATTCATCAACAACTCCCAAATACTCACAATAGCAGTACCAAAAACCAACCCAACGCCATCAGCAGTATGCGATGCGATCCACACGCCTTTCTTCTTCCTCGCGAAGCAAATCAGGACGCTGCAAACCCAGAAAATCGCAAGCAGTACCAAACCCGACTCCACCCCTGCATATTCTTCGCGAAAAAGTCAAAGAAAGAAACCCAGAGCCGCACGCCTCTTCTTCTTTGCGAAGAAACCCGTACGTCACCCATCTGCAAACCCATAACCCTAGCAACCTAATCGATCAAATCATTGTTTCCTTTCTCCCATTTTCAGAGATCTTCAAATCTCTTTCACTGTTCCTCTTGAAAACGAAGAAAGAAATTCAAAGTTTTAAATTTTGCTCAACAAACCCC